AAATATTTTCCTTTTTTTTTTTACTTTCTCTTTTTTTGACATTATATACATATACATATTTATTATTATTATTATTTGTTATACTTTATTATTAACCATTATTAAGTATTGTTATAATAGTTATTTTTATTAATATTATTAATGTTATTATAACTAGCATTATATATAATATTAATGCTAGTTATAATAACATTAATAATATTAATAATAATAACTATTATAACAATACTTAATAATGGTTAATAATAAAGTATTACAAGTAATAGTAATAAAAAAAACATGTATGCCTAAAGGGCTTAGGTTTGCAGGTTAGAGAGGGCTCAGCACTGGGTCAAGACTAGGGGTCAAGAAATCTTCGGGTATATGGAAGCGAAGAGAGGAATTGAAAGGGGAGGAAGAGGCATCGAAAAGAGAGGTCTAAGGGTTTGGGATTTTTTGCTTTGAACTAGAGAGAGATCGTGGGCTATAGGCGATAAGGCTCGATTGCATGGAGGAGGCTGAATGGTAAGGCTCGGTTAGGTTTGGGAGAGAGGGATGGAGGTCGGATGCAAGGAGGAGGTTGGTTTGGCATCGCCCTTAGCTTGAGAGGCTTCAGTGGGTTCAAATGGCCAGGTAGATTCTCTCTCTCTCTCTCTCTCTCTCTCTCTCTCTCTTTCTCTCTCTCTCTCTCTCTCAACCAAAGGGTTGAGTAAGGATTGGAAGGTGGTGGGAATATTCGACTAGGGTGTGGGGGGTTTTGGATTGAAGGGAAGAAGATGTAGAGGGGAGGTTATATGAGGTTGGAGTTTGGTTGTTTGAAGTGAAAGAGCTTGGAAGGTCTACAGAAGAAATCGGGAAGTATAGGAGATCGCAAGCAGCGATGGGAGTTCATATGGAAGAGGCGAAGAAGAGGCATAGAAGAGGCATAGAGAGCCATTTATCTCTCACTTTATTAATGAATGTAGAGAACTAACCAAAGCGGGTGGGAGATTTTGCCAAAGCAACAATTCGGTGCTACAGGGCATGGGGCATAGTAGATGCGATGATCTTACAGGATATCTGACAGGATATGGGCTTCGACACATAAGTAATGATTTAAAGCATTTTTTAATATGTTTTTGTTTGTCTTCCTTTGGATGTATAGAAGATGTCAACAGTAGAATGCTCAATTTTCAAATGGGATGAATGGAGGGCTGGCTGGATCATGGAAGAAGGGAAACTATTAGTGACGAGAGGGTCACTAGAAGCATTGTTAGTCTTAAACAAAATAGATGGAGGATATGATCTACCATAAGGTTTTAGTGTGAGCTGCTTGGAAGATTCAGGAATAGTGGGACATTGACTAATGTCAATGTTGTGCCCAACAAAGCTTAAATGATAGCAAAGGTGAACAATCCCCTCATATTCATCCCTTTGAAAAAATTTTCCATGAAGCCCAGAGATCTAAACTCTGAGAGGAAGCTTGGCACCAAAATCCATCTGCAAGCAAACACAAGAAAAAGCTTTTCTTCCCTAGCAATTTGTTTGAGCATCAATCCATAGTGGTTGTCCAAAGAAAAAAGCTCTCCGGTTAAGGTTGGGGTTGTCCCAATATATAAGAGGCAAATGGGGCAAGCAAATCTGAATCGGAGAAGATAGTACCACCATTGATTGAGGAGAGAATGAACAAGACCAATGATCCAAACAAATAACAAATCCCCCAATAACCCACAGCCCTCCCATAAGGATAGCATCTCGAGCCTCGACACTATCAAAGAGGCAAATGAAAGAATCCGAAGAGATGGTTATGAGTTGTAAATCTCCAAACATCAACCATTTATGTTTCAATTTGTTGCTTAGCACAAAATAAAGCAACCTTCACCCAATAAATTTGTCCACTAGCCCTCTTTCAAACCTAGCTAATTTGGCATGAACGGACTCCATGTTCAAAGTCCAAAACAACCATCATCAGACAAAACTATCACCTTAGAAACATCATCAATTTTAATAGCATCCAACCCATTCCATTCACTATGGAGGTCGTAGACAGCATGAGCACCATAAGGATGCTAGGATAATTGAGGAATATGAGCAGAAATGCAATTCCAACAAACAGATTTTAAAGAGGCATTTGCACAAACACCTGATATGTAATTTTTAAATTTAGAATTCTTAAGAATGGCTACATCTGGTGGATTTACACCGACAAACAAACTCAGAAAAATCACTAGAATCCAAAGGTTCATTCAAAACCCTACAATCCTTTCAAATAATAGCTCCAGCACATTTTAGATTGCAAAAATACAAAAGCCATGTGAAGAAAAGGGATGGCATCATTTCAGTCATTGGTTGGAGTTTTTTTGAGCAATTTCTAGAGAAGGCGAAGGGTTTGATGTGATATTCAAAGCACAATAAGACGTGAAAAGGTTAGTCGGTGTGTGGGTATATATTCTTAGACAGGAAACAACAAATAGGAGGTGTTTGTGTGTGAGATAATTTACTTGAAGGTATTGGATTTTCTTTAGTTCAATTTGTGGATAAAAGTGATATACATATATAAGGAATTCAGAATGGAGACAAGGGCTAGTCGTAATGGAATTCTCACTTATGTTTTGATTGAAAATTAGGAACTCGTTAGAAGCAAGAGTGTTGGGATGAAGAAGATCAACGAGGAAAAAGGCATAAGCTTTTTTTTTCATTTCGATTTCTTCCTCTTTTATCTCTGAATCATTTAATAGAAGTTATAACATCGAATTGTCGAACTGGTCAAGGTGGGACTGGGATGAACATGCAAAGAGATAAAACTATTTGATCTTGCTTTATCATCATTTTTCCCTTTTTTTTTTTTAAACACAAGCAATCCTTGTGAAAACCATATCCAACTGTCTTTGTATTTCAAGTAACAAAGTTCCTAACAAGCAATCCATCAAAGCTCAATTGTGTATACTTCTCAATCATATTTCATATACATGTCAATGAATAAGTTCCCAACGATTTCATCATAGAATTTCCATTTCTCACTAGATATCCATGTATCATTTTCCTTTAGCTAATGCCTGAAATTAGAGATTTCTAGACTACATGATTCTTCATCTCTTTTTTTATATAACACAACTGCCAACTTGTAGTTGATCAATGGTGGTGCAGGCAAAGACAATGCTTGTATTAATTCCATAATTCGGAAAAAATCCTTTGGCACATAACTGATTAAATATTTGAAAGGCATGATCATAAAGTATACATTGGCAAACTTAATGATGGTTACTTTGGTAAACCAATGATCATAGAACTCAACAAAATAATATCCCATTTCATGATTGAATTAAAAATGATGAGGGGAATTTTTTTTTTAGTCTACACATTTTCACTCTTGCACAACCACTACCTTGCCTAGTCGATGCTGCCTAATGGCCTAGGCCACCTGACAAACATCCCAGCATTAAACCTAAATTATCTTAGCCATTGGATTATCTTCCAATCATGGAATATGGAAAAATAGGGTAAACCTTCATACAAATTTTGTTTCTTATCTAGAGAAATTCTAGTGGAAATCTACTTCTGTTTTTCTCTTTCATAACATCCTATGAATTTCCCTGGTGAAATCTTGGTGTTTAGAGGCTATCGATGATGACAACCCCCAAGGTCTAAGCCACTCTTAATCCCAACAACTCATGCTACTTATCTCTAGCTCTTCTGGTCTTGGGTTCTTCAACAAACCTCTTCATCTATAGCTAAGGGGGTGAATTAAACTATTTTCTTGCTCAAACTGCCTATATCCATAGGTATATTACAAACCATAACTCTAAACACAGATTTTGTATTCTAGAATTAGCCTACTCTCTAAGATCTTCATACTCCTTAGAAATATAGTTTAGAACCTTCTAAAGCTCTTTAGATGATTGCATACAATAGTATTATGACTATAATCCATTCTAAACCAAATGAAAAATGTTTCTATTGGTTGTCTTGAGGTAGGAGATGTAATATGGACCATCCTTCTTATATGTATTTTGTTGGATGTTCTAGATGGCATTGTATTGAATGTATCTGCTAGCCCTCCAAACCGCTTAATTGAGCAAACTAAATCTAAATTGTTCAATTATTATCATGTGAGATTCAATAGCTACGAGGGTTGCCAATGTATTCAAGTTTAAAAGCTTTTTCTATTAAAAATAAATTCAAGTGTGATTGATGAGTATTTTTAAAGTAATTTCTATGGATAAATTAATGTGTCACTTATTCATTTTATATTTTTCAGTCAAATCATTAAATCTAACATTACACTATCTTGATAGATAGACTAATGCTTTAACATCAACTTGAAAGGAGAAATAATAATTATTCACATAATCAGCATAAGGAATTTTATATTTATCTTGAAGGATGAAATTAAAATTCAACTATTATTTTGAAAATGAAACTAACAAAGGATATGCATTATTTGCATCCAAAATATTTTTCCCCTGCTCTAGTAAAGTACGATTTATTTTAAATTGGGTTATTGGGCTTCCCTAAAGGCAAGTCATTATAGTTAATTATATCTCCAAAGAGAACTTCCAATTAAAGTGGAGGCTAGACTTATTTTTGATTTGAAATTTAATAAATTTGATTTAAAGATTTAAAGATTTCATTCAATAAAATGACACAACATAAAATAATTCTATAGAACCTAAAATAAACTTATATGACTTAAAAGAGTCTCTTCAATATGTATCTAATAGTGATTTCATTATTATCGATTTTCAGAATGATCTTATTTACACAGAAATTGAGATATCTAATTCTGATAATTCATTAGATGAAGCATTAAAAGAAAATGAACATATATAATCAAAAGAATCCATTATCTCTTAGAAGAGATAGTCCAAATAAATTTATGCAGTGGTAAAGTGTTACCACCATCAGTATCTACAGCCAGTAAAGGAAAGTAAGTGGCTGATAATCTAGAAACCTCATAACCAATTCAATAAGATTTAGATGTAGCTAATTAATGCATTCCCTTAATTCTTACAAAACACAGATGATGAAACATGTCATTGGTTCTAACTTAATTTGTTAGATTTCCTTGCAGCTTGATCACGCACAAAAGGATGATCCATTAATTGAGCAGCTGTTGGTCGGTTAGAAGGATCACGTTGTAAACATGACATTACAAAACTCTTAGCTTCAGAAGAAAGGTGACCTGGGATATCTGGAATATCTTTGCCAAACACAATTTCATGCTTTGCATCCATCTGGTAATCAAAAAACAATAAAGTTGGTTTCCCATTAAAACTTACTTAGAAAAAATCTTATGCATGTTCTGAGCAAAAAAATGACGCACCCATTCAAATCTACTCCACGGTGGTTTAGAAGTTGCCATCTCAAGTACCGCGCATCCAAGGCTCCAAATATCTACTGATAGGTTGTGTTCGTTTCTGTTCATGATGACCTAAATTTTGAATTTTTTATATTAGATTATTGTTGAAGAATTAACATACATTGTAAGTAACAACTCTGCAAAATAATATCAGGAATAATAACCTCAGGAGCCATCCAATAAGGGCTTCCTCTAAGAGATCGAATGAATGCACCATAAGATATCTGAAATAAAAGAGAATAAATTCAGCAAATAAGGACAACAAATGTCTTCTAAGAAAGAAGAATCTAAAATACACAACAACAAACTATCAATAGGGGCAGAATAGGATTGTCTTCTTAAAGAATGTATTAATTTATGAATGATTATGAAATATCTTTTATTTTTATTTTAAATGAATTAATCAAATAGTGCAGTTCTAATTCTCGCTCAATAATAACAATGGATTTTCTAGATAGCACACTTATATTTTCTCTTAGCAACATGCAAAGCTAGATAATTCATAATAATTCCAGATACGCATACAATCATAAATGTGCATGAATGTATTCTCGTATGGCTTCATTAGCATAATAAAAAGGATGAATAATGAAAGAAATGCTTATTTATAACAGTATTACTGACCCATTAGCTTAGAGTCATTGCCTCCAACTACTAAAGGGAGGACAAAGGTTCAAATCACCAAAAAAAGAACATCATGATAATAATAAATGTCAATGTTTATTCAATATATAGGACAATTCAATTAATCAAGAAGAGGGTAAAGATTCTTTGAACATACATGTTTAGCAATGCCAAAATCAACAAGTTTGACCTCTCCATAAGAATTAGCAAGTATGTTTGTTCCTTTGATATCCCTAAACATGTAAATAACATTATAAGTTCAAATGCAAAAATAATCCATAAAGCATTTTTATTCATTGAATTACTATGTGATTACTAATACAGTAAGTTACATTTGAATAATCTTGATAAGAAACAATACCTGTGTACTATGTTTTTCCCATGCAAATAAACAAGTCCAGAAAGAATCTGTGCAGTATAGATCTTGATAAGAGGTTCCCCAAATGAGCCAAATTCCTGAAGTAACATATAAATTGATGCTCCTGAGACATATTCGAGATAAACTGAAAGTGTGTCATCAACCTGCATTAAAAAAATAAAAATTAACAACAACATCCAATCCTCACCATTGTTATGTTTGTCTGAAAAAAGGAATCTCATATGTTGGGAGTTCAAACATATATTATAAAAAAATAAAATCCCTCAAACCATAAATAACTAAATATAGAGGACATAAGTCTAATTCGGAAGATGATGTGGACAACATAAGTCTAATTTGGAAGCTGATGGGGACCTACTAAAAGATGACAACATTAGAGCTTTAGCATTATTTGGATCATTTCGGGAAGAAGAAGTTGATTAAATATCCTCTTGAAATTATTGTGGTGTTGGGAAGTGGAAGCTTGGACTTATCATATAATGTAAGATTATTTTTTGTTTAAGATTTGTTGCTGGGATTTATAGTTAAAAGATGAATTCTTTTCTAAACTTTGGGATTATAATTTAAATACTATAAATAGTTATTCTAAACCAAGTAATTGATAACATTTGGCATGAATTTCTCTTTCAAGTTGCAATCTTATGAATAAAAGGTGGATGCGTGATTTCATCCGGCAAGGCACAAATGCAATAATGAGATTATAGAGGAATTCATTTCTTTGTATTAGCATAAAGCATGTCTTTCCTTTTTATTTTTCTTTCATCTCTTGTTTCATTTATTCAACATTATTTGATAATAACTTGTTTAGTGATTTGATTTTCATAAAAAAGTTCACACATTAGAAGTTCAAATTGTGTAAATTAATTCATTGTTCTTGCTAATTTTATTAAAATTCTAGGTTTATTTTGATCATTTTATTATCATTTGGTTTTAAACTCAAATATTATTATTTATAATTAAAAAAAGTTGTTGAAACTTGCAATAGATGAATCCTCAAATTTTTTTCATAAAAATATACAGCCTATCATATTAAGTGGATTAGAAAATTTTAATCATTAGTATTCCTGCAATAGAAGCAACAAATGAGATAATTATGGAGGACATTTGGAGTAATTGGGTTTTTCAGGAAACCATTATATAAGACTCCATTAAAAGGTGGACTATACTGATTTTTCTATCTTAAATCCTAAAACAATTGTAATAACCTTTTCATGCAATTGTATATTTAAGCGAAACAACAAATTTTCACACTATAATAAATTAAGGGCATAAACTACTTCCTATCATACAAGGATGAGCAAAATAGATTGAACCAATCTACCCAAACAAGGCTATTATCAATGTAAATTAAACAAAGAAAATGACTCATCGAGAGATTACATATATGAGTAGAGCCTAAATATTCTTGTACATCAAAATGTTCAATTATCTATTTCTTAAAATATTTAATTATCAATTAATCCACTTTGTAATGGAAATACCTTTAGATATAAGTTCAAGATTATTATTGTTACCGTATAAGAGAACTAAGTAGCATACATTAACTTCATTATTCGTACTAATGTTGATTGATAACAATGGCAATGGCCGTGGGTGGTACTCTCATACTAAGAGTATACTAGCTTCTATGGTTCAAGCTATTCAGGTGGAAGTGGGGATGCCCTATACTAAGCCAGTTAGGGTACGTAGCTCGCTGAACTTGACTCTAAGGGGATTCGAAGTGAATTACATCAGCTATTTGAAAGATCTATATAGAAGAGAATCCTTTCAAGTGAAATATCGAGCTTTGTTTTAGCAAACATGTCGAGGAATTTGGTCCTTATGACAAACAAAACAATAGGCTCTTGATCAATTTATCCACACATCTCCCCATCATTTGATCTACGGGTGATGGATAGTAACCTATGGTGGTATCTGGATGCCTTTTTCACATAAATCATGGTCATATAAATGGAGAAAACCTTGCAACCTCATCCAATTAACTAAGAAAATATGGCAATTACCTGTATTTTGTTAGTCAGCCTTAAATGGAAATCCCTACTTCTCGTATGTTGGTATAAGGTTGCGCCTGTTGACTCCATAAGTAGATGTAACTAATGTATATTTCACCATTGATTTGATGATAGTAAATATTTTGTGGCATCATCAAATCATCTGCTAAGTGTTATTGAGGCTAATCTTATTTTGCCAACTATGAAAAAGATGGTGATTTACACAAAGTTTACTTACAAGATTCATCAGCTAAAGGATGAGTTCAAAGATCAAGACAAGAAAACTCAATTGAAGAATCAAAGCTCCAAGTGTAATCTAGCATATTATAAATAGATTTATTGTATTTGATAGGCAATAAGCAAACAAATTGCCTTAATGATGATAAATTAATTAGGTATACTCAAAAGTTATTTGAAATGATAAAAAATTATCTTAAAATTATAAAGAGATTATATATTTATTAGAAATTATTCTTCATAATTTTTCTTCTTGGACTGATGTCATTTTGTGTTCTTCATAGTATGCTTTAAAAAAATGCACCACTACTTTTTACAAAAAAAAAAATTCAATAGAAAAATACAAATTGTTATACTTGATTTAACCAGCTATCAATATCATCCACCTTGATCCTGACTACCAAAATTTAGGCCAAACACCATAAGCATATGAATCTTTAATAAATTCCATGCTACAAGATATTTCAAATTTCTTACAGAGCTTTAGAATGCATATTCAGAACTGTTTGCACTAAATCTATATATATTTTCAATTATTAGTTTATTGATGCAAGACAAGCATGGATACATATTATATTGTAACATTTTAAGAGATAAAAGTAATGCTTTAATTCAAGTGAAATGTATTAAGGATGAAGATCAAAAATATATTTTATTAGAAGAGACTACTCAACAAAGGTGGATGAGATATTTTGATAAGTTTTTTAATGAAGATTATAAGAATACGATTGAGATTAGTGACCATAGCATCCTAAATGAAAATAGGTCCAATGGAAGATAAGATTAGAGAATCAAATTAGATGGTATGGTCAAATAAAATGTTGGCCTTTCAATGACCTAGTTAAGAGAGTAGATGCATTATATTTAACCTATGTTAAAAAAGATAGAGGTAGACAAAAAACCTTTACTATAAAATAATAGAAATAATATTTTTAATTAGATTTAAATAAGTATTTGACTCTTCACTGGACACAATATAGAAAAATGATTCATGTAGCTGACCCCTCATAGTCGGATAAAGTCTTGATGATAATGTGGGCTCCAAAAATTTACACTTTGAACTCCCCCTGCTTTCGAAGTAATTTTAACGCTTTAAGTTTTGACGTAAATTTTCATAAGGCATATTTCGTTTGTAGATAAGACACTACCTACAGATTTTTCCCATATTTCATGAGGACTTTATGATCTTAGTTCTGGTTTCCTATAGGCGCAAGCCCCTATAGTTAATTACCCCTCCAAGTAAGGAGTAAAATTTTTTTATTAAGGTAATTCGTCAATCAGATACATACATATACATGTTATCTGGCGTATAGTAGCAGAATGGGTTTAGTATTTAAAAAGTTAATATTTAGAACTAAAATTTTACTATCTTGCACTAAAGGAGGATGGTGGGGGAATGGATGATGGACCCGATCAAGATCTCATAGTTCCATTGTATTGGGCCATCGTGGTCCATGATTTGAGGAGGTAGTTGACCCAACCTAACAAAAGAATCCTTGTTGACATCCATGGGTTGTCTCGTCCAAGGGTACCTTGTAGACCTAAGGTGGATATTTGTCTAAAGACATAAATTTGAAACCACCTTAGCTGATAGAGGGCTTTATGTCATATCGATTATATCCTATTAATTCATATCTCAAGAATTTAGTGTCATTGAGGAGCATACTGGTTATAGTCATGGCCATAATTTGGTGTCATTTGGCAACAAACCACTCGGTTCATAGAGACCAGGTCATAACCATTTACTTGTGATGCCATTTGGAGGTAGAACCACCAGTTAGAGGACACGTGCCACATCTTTGCTGGCAAGAGATTGCTTGAGAATGAATCCTAATAATATTCTCGACTAGACATTAACTATTTGTGAGCTGAAGTAATATTTAAATTTATCCACCTCAACAAAATGTTACGGAAGGTGGATGGATTTTGTTTTAAATATTTGATGGTTTATTTCAATTTTTAATATTTAAATTTTGTTAGTTTCTTGGACTTTTTAATTTCATATGCATTTGAGTGGCATTTGAAATACTTGAAATTAATCCCTTCGGTTGATATATATATC